TAGTAAATTTCTACTCTATATGTTATTTGTTTAGTGTATCAAATTAAGAGTTTACATGACAGCATTAATGTTCTACATTGTTTATGTCAGCTTTACCCATTTTTCTAAAGTTAGCTTATTTCCATAGAAATACTAACTTCCTCACGGTTCACATAGTCCTGGTTATACAAACTGTCAGCTAATTTTTCTGAAACAAGAGTAATAAAACTTTAATCGTCAAGAGTTGACCGATTAGACCAAATTAAAAGTTTGAATCCATTCTTCAGTATTTTCTTCAGAAAGAATGATCAAATCATCGCATTCTTTATTCCACTTAATAAAAAATTGATAGAAGTAGTGTTGTGTGCGAATCCAGATACCAGATCGACTTTGTTCACCACTAAATGTTCTATAATATCCGTTATTCATAGCAAAACAAAATAAATCCATGTTCCAATGTTTTATTGAAGGAGAACGTTGGCCATACATGGGGAGCAGCAAATAGAGAAAAATGGCAGCAACGCGAATAGAACGTTGCGCGCAAAAGTCGCAGAAGTGTTTTCGGTACAGTTAAACAAAAGATGTACAATTGTGTTTATTTTTCTCAAATCGTATGGTCTTCGTAGAAGCGTTCCACTACAGTAGTATTGTGGAATGCTGACATCAATAATTCTAACAATTACTTTACTTCATATAACCTTTGTATGACTAGGATGCATGATAAAAAACTTTTAGAGAAACTTTTGAAATATTCTTAAACTTGAAAAACTAGCTTAAATGGAAAATCAATGCAAGTTATTTTGTCGACCTGGCATTGTATATTGTCCGTCCAACGTTTGAATTTGACCTAGGGGGCGCGTTTTGTCGACCTTGAGATCATGATGTTGCGAGAGGTACAAGATGCTCTTAGCAGGAAATCACCGTACGTTTTTATGTTTATAAGGGTTTAATTTGTTAGGACTTTGCCTGAAGAAAAAAACAAAAGATTTTGGAAGTGCCCTCAACCGAATTGTCACGGCTTTGCTTGTCCTTCTGACTTCAGATGTACCATGTGCAGCAAAGTTATTGATTTTTCCGACACCTCATTGAAGTCTTCTGCTAAAACGGAATGCGTTATATCATCGCCTAATGGTACACCACCTGTGAAAAGAACAAGGACTGTCAACAACTCCCACCTTGTTCCACTTACCATATTTAGTATCGGAAGATCAGGGATTTTCGATGGTCGTGCAGAAGATTGTTGTATTAGTTCATCTTCTATTTCATGCAAAGTTAAAGTAGAAGGTAAGCTCTTTTTTGTTTATGCTACTCCAAAGGCGTGTGGACCAGTGTCACCATCCAATCCAATAACATGGAAATGCTCGTTTTCTGCGAAACCCTTCAGGTGATTTTCGTGAAACCATCTGTTTCTTTCAAGTCGAAACTTTCCGAATTGCTTAAAATCAAGGAGTTTGTTCTGCGTGAGTATATATTCAGTTTAAATGTAACTTATTTGGAAGAGTGCAGCTTTTTATTACATTTCATCGTAATTTATTGCCTGACCATAAATCTCTTATCATGGATAAGTTGCATAAGATAATAATTCGCAAAATGTTCAACAATACGTCAAAAGCATGAGTAGCCTAACAGATAATAGTCATCTAGTTGTAATATCAATAGGGTTTCGTTCGGTATACTGTGATAAACCAAACGTCCTTCGTCCAATGATAAATGAAAAACATTCTTCTACTAAATATCAGCTTTGACGCTGTAAGAATCAGCTGAGTGATATGCACAAAGTGGGATCAAGCCGCCCAAGACATTCGCAATTAAAATAGTTTAAATCTTGAAGAAAATATTCGGATAAACCGAACCTCATTACTGTTTGCCTTGTGGCGAATTACTTACGCCTGTTACCTCCGTGGAGCACAGGACGCGACCAGCAACCCCCAACAAACTATTCCGGACTCGCCTTTGCATTTTGTCTCAAGCACTGTTCATAACTGTTTGCCAGTGTTCTGAAGAAAAGCCATAAGTTTATCCCGAATCAGTGTCCTGCAACCGTTTCGAGAAGAATGTTCAAGGTAGCCGCGTATTGCTTATCGATTGTAGTATGACTCCTTCGGTTGTTCAGATACTAATGGATGTGTTGATGTCAAGATGTACCAACATAGTTGACCTGGAGATATTTCCGAAGTGCGAAAACTAATAACTCAGACAAAACTGCGGAAAATGCATTTTCTATAGTGAAGGAAAATGAGTTTCTCAGTAAATTCGCCCTTGGAACATCCATTCGTTATGTTAATAACGGTTTTAAGAACATTCAAAAATTCGAAAGTAGCACAACCAAATTATATGCTCGATACCCGTTAATATTCAATACTGTTGAAAAGTCTGAAAATCCAACTTCTTAACCAACAAACAAGGTCCTCGCTTCTTGGTTAGTTCATCAAAGTTTTTCATACCGTACTATGGTTTAAAGTCCTTGTTAACAAGACCGAAAAACATTCAGCTAAAAACCGTCCTTTGGCAACTATAAGGAAGACTTTTATTTCTTATCTAATTAGTTTCTACTCATTATATGTTGCCCACACTAAATTAACTTAAATTTCTTAGCCATTTTTCTCTAGGGAGATAATTTCGTTGATTATTTACTCACATGGTTTCCCAAACTTTTACTATTTGTTTATTTAAAGCAAGCGTGAAGTGGCTAATTTTGGTATTCAGAGAACCATCTGCTAGTGACTTATTGTATATAACAGTAAATGATCTTGAAGGTTTGGCCAATCGGGTTTGTGAAAACGGATCGTGTGACATACACTGTGGTGCAGAAAAAGCTAGGGAAATTCTTTCTAGTTGTGGCCTTCGTTTGCCGCGTGCTGAATCTAAAAGGGCCAATTCAAACCAAATCTCCCAAGCCCAAACCAAGACTGAAACAGCTCCTTTTTCAAATTCGGAATCTAGTTCATCCCAAGTTGACAAACACACAAATGAGGGTGGCCTATTGACCAATGTGATGAATACTCTTACTCATTCCGGTATCCAGCTCACAAATAATTCAAGTTCACTTCTTCAGGAAAGCGAAAATATGGTTAAAAGAAAACTGACAGCAGGTGAAGTAAGTTAAAAAAATTTCCACATATAAGTATGCACTTATCTTAGTATGGTATGAATACTGTTTAGCTATCATATACATGACGTAAACATTACTCATTCTTTTCTTTAGATATCTGTTTACGCTTCTCACCCCAATGACCCTAAAATTCAGGTTATTCACCTAGATTTTTAATATATTTATTGTGAATTATGTCACTAATTTTCAGTAGATTAGTACCCAGTTCAGTGATTTACGAGGAATCGATGTTGTTCTAACAGTATTTTAATCGATAACTTACCGATTTTGTCCTACGAAATCACGAACATACTTATGAATCATAAACAAAACTGAAGCAGCTGCACGTTGCTTGCTGATTATCAGTGGTTAAACCCAGTTCGCGTCTAAACCTATCTACAATTGAGAATTTTGTTCTGCTGTTCACTAGATCTTTTAAGATTGTAATTGTAATAGTCGTTGCTACCACTTTCACGTGTTCAGAAAACATCAAACTTTTTGGAACTTAGTTAATGGTTTTCCAGAACGGCATATGAAGTTTTTATTTTCTTGGTATTTTTCATCATCTATTTGTAAACTAGTTTTCTATGCAAAAAATGCATGTAACTCGTCTTTCTAATAGCATAATTAGGTAATTTCTCAATAGCAAGCCGTTAAAATGCACATACTTATCATTAAATGTTTTCAGCGCAATCGACTTAGCGATAGATCAACTTACTGAACCAATTGAAACAATTATAGTGGTTTTGATCAACCTTATATAAATAGTCTAGAAATCTTATCAGGTTGGCTTCGTACCTTGATGTGTATATATAGACCACATTTTTACACTACGACAGGCCCTCGAACACAAACAGAAATATAGGCCGATGATATAGTTCTATTTGGTGAAGACGCTGCCAAAATGCAGTCTTCTGACTACCCTGAGCAAATGCAAACATGTTTGGGATGTGGCTTTCCCCTCAAAATGCAAAATCTTACTTCAGGATTGGCTTGTCAACCAATCATTAAAGAGCAACGTACAACTTCGTACATACGTACGTACATCGGTTCAAGTTGCCATACCACATTAGCACAGAGATGTAATTGTCAATTCAAATTTTAGCAGTAATGGAGAATATTAGGGAGCAAAGATATAATTCGAGAAGTATAATCCAGTGAGATAACTTTAGAAAGAGAAGGGTAGAGATGATGAGGAATTCAGAAGGTTAGGATTTGTGAGAACACAAAGAGTGGATGCATCTGCGCCATTGCAAACGATTTTGAGCCATGTCGTTCAAGGTATCTAACCATCGGTGACTTCGTCTCTCGGATCCCAACCAGGTAGCCTACATCTACCAACATGACTCAATCCTCTTTTCAGTGACTTCATGGACTTCTGCCATGTTTTGATCTGGCCCCCATAACATTCTTCTAACCTACTCCTACACCACAAAACAGAGCTCGTCGCGGCAATCGATGGTTAGGCATACGCAACACATGTCTCAACCGCCCCAACTGATGAAGTTTCAATAATTCATCTGTTGACTTGCCATCCTTAACTAGCACCCGTTTCCTAAGAACAGCATTGCTTACTCGGTTGTCCCAGGATATACGAGCAATGCTTCGGAGACACCCATGATCGAAAACAAGAAGCCTACCAATATCTATTCTGACTAGCCATGTTTCACAGCCATAAAGTGGGGCGGAGCAAAGTTCTGCGCAGTACACTCGTCCTTTGATTAGCAAGTAGATATCTCGCCTACGCCTAAATGTTTTTCTAGTTGTTCCTAAAATGTATTCTTAGCTTTATTTTCATTAAGTAGAGCCCTAAGATGTTTCCTTGCGATATTTTGAACGTTCAGTGAGACCCAAACAAATACGCGCTCGCACACCTCACCCTACCTCACGGATTTCCATCTCCGTCGGTAAGGGTGCCCACTTAGGACTTTTAAGAGCGGAGCTAATACTCAAGAAACCTTTCATAAAAAGGCCGTGAGTGACCAGCCTCAAGCAGTTGTCCCCTGGGCTCTGCGGTCACGCACCCAGGTCGCTAAGATCAACACTAATCTACCTTTTTTTTCAGGTCCCTCAAGAAACAACCTTCCACGGTATGGGCAGCCGAGAAGTGGCAACCGCTTTCATACCCGTAACAGCACGCGAGACCAAATTGGTCAAAATCAAATCCTTCTTACACCCCGTAATATCTCCCTTATCTCTACGACTAACTCTAGTCGTATACCTTCAGCTCACTGCACCGCTA